CTCTCTCTCTCTCACGTTTTCTCCCTTTACGCATACACAGCGTAGCTAGTTTGGCGTTGGCCCGCACGGAGGCCGAGCAGGTGACCGCAGCGAGAACGATGAGACGGGAGGGGCGAAGGACCGACAAAACGTGGATGAAGAACCACCCGATGGAGGGCGACGACATTGTCACGAGCTTCTACGACGTTTTGTGCAAGCGTAACCCCAGGACGATGAAGCCTTGCCGCAATGTGTTTGTGCCTGACACGGTGGTGTACGAGCGCAGCTTTCCACGCGGGTGGTACACGACGGACGTGAGGGCGCGCGAGGTGATGCGGAGGCAGGGCAAGGACCTCGACGCCGCCACGATCGAGGCGAGCTTTGGTCGGAAGGTGAGCGACACGTGCCCCATTGTGGCGACGTACCTTTCGACGCTGGAGGAGTGCATGGGCAACGGCGTCAGCGAGACCACGACGCAGGTGGAGGTGCTCAACACGGAGAGCGTCGGCGGCTTCATCGCGCGCAAGAAGAAGCGTGAGGGTATCCTGCAGCGCTTCGTGTTGCCGAAGGGGTACCACAACAGCGTCATCAGGGCTGTGTGGAGCCCCCGCGTCGCCATGGTGCAGCGGCGCACGAACCGGTTCCCCATCATGGACCGCAAGCGCGCGGAGAAGGATCCCTTTGCCATCGCAGTGACGTACGAGGGACCGGAGTACCTGAGCGAGGAGGGCACCGTGTCGGCGCACGTCGCGTTGGGGGTGAAGAGCGTGTGTGCCGAAATCGTCACGCACTTCTTCTATACGGAGCACAAGCACATCACGCGGATGGTTCTGTACTTCAAGAGCGACGCGAGGGACCGGCTGTGGCTCCTGTGGTGCGGCTCGCTGCGTGTGGCGGACCGCAACTCGGCGAGCGAGATGCCGGTGAACCTTGCGCCGAGGTTTGGTGAGCCGGCGCCTGAGGGCGAACTGGACGAGGATGAGGTGCTGCGCACTGCCGACAGGGCGTACTTCCTTGTGACCCGCGACGAGTTCTTTCACGGGACGTACATGCGCGGCAATGGCCCGCTGGCAACGGACGCGGCGCGCCCGGGGGAATCGCGGACGCAGGCGTCGGTGACATCGGGAGGGCGGGGGGCGGGTGAGGGCGGGGACGCGACGATGCCGAGGGGCGACGAAGACGGGGATTACGTGCCGGCGGAGCTGAGGGTCTCTATGGAGCGGCTGCATGTGCAGGAGGAATTGGTGCTGGATGCTTTCCGCGATGTCTTCTACAGGGCGTACAGTCACTTCCTCAGCGGAGACGCCGTGCCCTTTGAGCTGCGGGTGCCCCCGCACGTGGTGAGTGTTCTCACGGAGGGCTGCGTGGCGGACCTCATGCGGGTGCTGAAGCTGCGCGCGGTTCCCTGCGCGGGGGGGGAGAGCGAGGGGGCGGGGGAGGGCGCGATGGTGTACACGATCCCGCCGCTCCACCGGACGCCCCTGACGCAGCTGGGCGACACTGCGGCGAACTGGATCAGGGAGCACTTTGCTTCTCGCTGGGAGGCGCTGAGGCGGGGTGTAATAGCCGGTGGCGTGCCATCGTGTGTGCCGTCCGCTGGTGCTGCTGCGGAGCAGGTGGAGCGGCGGGTCGGGGACGGCCAGGGCACGGACTCTCGGACGGAAGCTGATGCAACTGGAGCCTGTGGCGGCACCGTGGACCCCTGTGACACTGCGCGGGAGCTGTGAGCGGGCGTCCGTGGCAGTGGTCGGCGTCGGCTGTTGCCCGTTGCGAGTGCCTGGGCTGCGAGGGATGCGAAGCAGAGGCAGCGCTGCTGCGGTGGGGCCGTGAGGAATCGGGCTGCGCCGCGTGTTCCCCGCTGCGCTGCATGCGCTCTTGTGACTCCTCCTTCCGGGGTGGTAGTGATTTTCCGGTTGTGCGTGTGTGAGTGCACCGAGGCAGCTTGCGTACCGGGTGCCTTGCTTCTGACTGCTGCTTCCCGCCGTCTCTTTGCTGCGTTCCTGAAGAGGGCGCGAGCGTGTTGACGCCGGAGCGCGGCCGAGTGGTGGCTGTGCGTGTTGGGTGCGCTGCATGCTGGATGCTGGCTGTCCAGCTGCCGTGGGAAGGATGAAGACAGCCGCACGGCACGCGCAGGCGGCGTCGCCGTGATGTATTGCATAGTACTGTGGGGCGACCGCGACGTTGTGAGGGACGATGTACATAACCACCCACACCGTTGTTTGTGCTGGACTGTCTCCACATGTGTTTGGCGGCACTTTTGTCGTTGACGCTCATTTGTTCTCTGCTGCACTTGCCGACACGGCTGATTCCTTTCCTTTCCTCTGTGCACCTTTTTCTTCCCTTCTCTGTTTCTCCTGCAGGAAGCCACAACCCACACAGCAAGACAGTTTTAGGGCAACGGGCATGGCGGTGGGATGGGTGGCGGTGTGGCCGCGAGGGCGGCGTGCTTGTGCGGCGGCGCGGTGCCTTTTGTTGCCCTGCTGCTGCTGTTTGACCCGCAGGTAGCGGTTTCCAAACCATTTGCCTGTGAGACCAGTGCGAAGGTGTTTATGCTGAGTGTGCCGGGCCTCCCAATTGACCAGAAATTGGTGGATTCACTTGAGGCTGGGCTAGAGGCGGCCCTCTGGTCGCGCAACTTCACTGTTGCTGACGCTGTTTATGGGGAGATTATCAGGAAGGTCTCCACAATGCAAACGAGTGGAGCGGTGATAGGAAAAGCGTTGAATTAAAGCAGTTATATTCTTCTTGTGGCAGGCGCTATTGGCGATACGATCTTTGCGAGCTCTCTGACCTTAACTATGCGGCATGGCCTTGCCTTGTTTGCCCCGTTCACTGGGTCGAGTTTGGTGCGTGGGCGGAATCCCAAGTTTTACTTTTTGCGTGCTGACCCTGCAGCCGAGCTGCTGGCACTCCTCCGCTACGCCTTGGTCCATCTGCGTGTGCGTCGGCTGGGCTTCATTTACATGGAGGGTGAATATTTTGGTGGTACTGAGTATGAGCTGGCAGAACGTGCGATTTCGGGGATGGGCTACGAGCTGAGCGATGTCTTCAGTGTGGAGAGCTCTGTGAACGGTGGTGCGAAGAAGGAAGCGTTTGACGCTGCGTGGGAGGCGTTTGCTGACACTCAGCTGCAGGCTGTGATTGTGTTTGGGTCACCGACAAATGATGCCGTGAGGCTTGTTAGGAGGATGCTGGCGGGCAAGCGTACTGCTGGCGCGTACATGCTTGCTTCCTCGGTGCTGCAGGACCTTGTTTTGAGGGTGTGGCGTGCTGCTGTGGCTGGCGGTGTTGTGTTTGTGCCTGGGCAGGTGACCACGACTGGGACGAACCCACTGGCGAAGGACACACAGTGCGAGGCCATCCGGCGCTTCCAGGAGTTGATGCGGGAATATCTGGAGAAAAGCGGCCAAAAGTACTATACCGACAAGGATTCTTTTTTTTATCCATGACGACGAGGGCGATATGATGGTTGCTGGGTGGATTTTTGGCGAGGTGCTTTCACAGGCGCTGGGCGGTCGTGAATGGGTGAGGGACCGCACGTCGTTCTTGGCGTCTCTGTACAAACAACGCCGGTAGTGTTTGACGACATTGTGATTGGCGAATACGGTTTTGAGTGCGAAACGAGGGCTGCGTCGCGGGGCGCCACTTGCCTCTGCAACCAGGGCGGTCGGCCTGTACATAAACGGAATTATGGAGAGGTTTCGCGCTGAGGATGTGGCTGAGGGTGCATTCACACTGAATTTGGATGAATGTGGCGCCTCTCCTATAGAGTTGCATGCACCCTTGAATGGGTTGGCTTTCATGATGCAGGATGTTGTGGTTGCGCAACTGGCTATGGGTAGCACGTTGGCCGGTGCGGACGCCGCAAAGGCGCCCCAGGATGATCATGACGGCACTACTGTTAAGTTCCGCACTCTCAGTACTTCGGCTGCTGGGGCAATAGATGCTCTTCTGTCCGAGATGAGTGCACGGCGGGTTCACTTTGCGAGCGGTGTGGTGACGGGTGCGATGCTGGAAATGGAGGGTGTGACCTTCATTGACCCGCTGCCTCTTGAGCCGCGGCTGAACGGGTCCCAGAGAAACATGATCCGCCTGTCGCTGACGCTGGAGCAGCAGTTGTTTGTGCTTGCGGAGTACCTCGGGAACGCGAGTGGCGGCTCCGCGCACGCAGTGATCCGCAGCGGGGAGGCTGCGGCTATGGCGGATGTGCTGCGGCGGTCGCTGCTGACGTTTGGCGTGTCGCTGGCGGCGACGCGCTGGTGGACCACCTGCCGGTGGAGGGCGATGTGTTTTTGGTGGGCCTTTCAGCTGGGGATGCCGGTGCGATTGCGCGGCACGTGTCGTCGCACGGTGGTGTGCGCGTGTTCGTGTTCTTGGAGTTTGCGCTGCTGCATGCTGAGTTTGTTGCTGCGTTCCGTGACGGTGCGGGTGCGGACCGTGTTGTGTTTGCGACGAGCCTGCCGCACTGGAACGACAGGGGTTCAGCGTCGGAGACCGCCAGAAAGTTTGCTGCTGCTGTGCCGAGGGAGGAAGACCGGACGCCGCTGTCACTGATGGGCTTTGCGGCCACGCGGCTGGTGCATACAGCTCTCTCGCGAATGTACCATGTGAGCGCTGAGCTGCTGGCTGACTTCTTCTAAAATAATGTTGCTGTCGCCGTGGACGACATGCTGTACGGACCCTTCGCTGATGGCAGGGCGTGCTCTGCTACTGAGAGCGGTGCTGGGTGTGGCAGGAACTACGTCGCAGCTCACATTTCTGTGTGGCCGCCTGCCCGTGCGCTGGAACCCGCTGTGCCGGAGCTGTTCCCTGCCATGGCGCCGTCGATGAAGTACGCGAATCCCGCTGCGTGTGGAATGACGGCGCGGCGGCTGATCGACGTCATTGCCGGCTGATCGACGTCATTGCCGGCTGCGCTGCTCTGCTGCTTGTTGCTGTGCTGCGGTACTTCTGCCGCAGCTCGCGCGACAACGCGAACGCACCGAAGGAGCGGCTGCACCCCGTGACGATTGTGTTCACTGACATCGAGAGCAGCACTGCGCTGTGGGCTGCGCGCCCCGAGGCGGTGCCCGACGCCATGGCGACGCAACACCGGCTGATCCGCTCGCTGATAGGGAAGTACCGCTGCTACGAGGTGAAGACGATTGGCGACGCGTTCATGATTGCGTGCAAGAGTGTGTTCGCCGCCGTGCAGCTTGTGCGGGAGCTGCAGCAGGTTTTCCTGCAGCACGACTGGGGGACGAGCGTGATCGACGACGCGTACCGCATGTTTGAGGAGGACCGTGCCGAGGAGGACGCGGAGTACGTGCCGCCGACCGCGCGCCTGGACGCTGCTGTGTACCGGCAGTGCTGGAACGGCCTGCGCGTGCGAGTCGGTGTGCACACCGGGCTGTGTGACATCCGGCGCGACGAGGTGACGAAGGGGTACGACTACTACGGCGGGACGTCTAACATGGCCGCGTGCACGGAGAGCGTTGGGAACGGCGGGCAGGTGCTGCTGACGCGTGCGTCGTACTTTGCGCTGAGCACGGCTGAGCGTGAGCAGGTGGAGGTGACTGCACTTGGCGCCGTGGCGCTTCGCGGCGTGCCGAAGCCCGTGGAGATGTACCAGCTGGACGCCGTGCTCAGCGCGCACCTTTGCCGCGCTGCGCCTTGACCATGAGGTGCCTGACCTTGACGATGAGAGTGATTTGGCAAGTGGTGATGGCTCTGCATCCACCATTCGGGGCGGTCCCTCAGGCTACGTTGCGTCCATGCTGGCTGTACTGTTTGGCACCTTTGCAGCTCCGCAGCGACTGAAGGCGCTGCTCCCTTTGTGCCAGCGCTGGAGTGTCCCGGTGCCGAGCGGGGACGGAGAAGGGTGTGACCAGGACGTCTGCCGTTTGGCGATGGAGCGGCTTGCGGCCAAGGTGTGCGGTGTGATTAAGAAAAGTGTTTCTGGAGACTCAATTGAAGGGGGATTGCGCACAATGAGTTTGTCAGAAGGTGCTGTTATTTGGAGCGATGGCGCATTGCGGTTGCGTAGATTTTCTGTTGAGAGAGCCGGCCTACTCGGGGAGTTACATCGGCGAAGTGGCTTTTGCCAGGCGTCCTTGTCCACGGCGGAGGGGGTGTGGTGGATGGAGGAGGACCCGGTTGCCACCATTCAAGTTCGCCGGCGTGTGTAAAATGTGCTTCGCTGTGGCAGCGAATGGTGTGTGAGCATTGAGGTCGCGAGCTGTAATTGATGATTGTGTGAGTGTAGCTAATAGCAGTGTGGACTTTTGCCAATATTTTTTTTTTTTTTTAGAATATTGTGAAAGGATGCTCGCGAGGAAGGCTGGCCGCCCAAATTAATGTACATCTTGATAAGTGGAATATATTTCTTTACGGCTACTCTCTATCCTATGGATCTTTGGCTTGCCGCGATGGAAGGAATAAGGTAGCCGATGAAAGCAAGACGCATTTAATTTGTTTTTATTTTTTGCCATCCAACCTGCTCCCTTTTGATGCTTTTCTTGCGGCGTGGTTTTTGTGGTTGGGGGATATTAAATTTCGCCAATTTGTGTGTAATAAATATCACTAATTTGAATATGGTGCAGCATTTCACTACGGTGGCCACCCGAATACAATATTTATACGGAGAAAACATCGAGGCCGTGGTGAACCCACTGCCACTTCATTACTTTCTTCTTTCCAGTCCTGTTTTTTTCATTTATATGACAATTAGGGAACCGGCCAGCAGTCC